TGACAGCTGGGAGAGCTTTCCTTCTTGTTGGTTTGTGGCCTTCCTCTCCTGGGAGAATAGCGACCTCTAGTGGCTTATGCTTGGAAGCTGTGCGCAGACAGGGCTTTAGCCACCTGTCTGGTTAGTTTGGAGTTCATCTCAGCTGTTGCTGTTGGCGTGGCCTGGCTGGGGTTGCTCCTCCAAAATTGTGGAGCCCCATTGGAGTGGGAGCCGTCGGGATGCTATTTATCTCCATAAGGGGCCTCTGTGCTCCCTGTTTCCCAGGGGGTTAGAATGCCCAGAGATCCCCAGATTCACTGCCTCTGGGCTATGTGTCCTGTCCTGCCCCTTTAAGACTTCCAAAAAGCACTCTCCAAACCAAAACAACAACAGCAACAATGAAAGAGAAAAAAAAAAAGAGAGAAAAACGTGCGATTTTCTTTGTCCTCAGGCGCTGATCTCAGTCACCCGCTCACCGGACTTGCTGCCCTGTTTCCCTAGTATTGGGGTCCCTGTCCCTTTAAGGCTTCCAAAATGCACTTGCCAAAAAAAAAAGGGAAAAACGCTTGATTTTCTTTGTCCTCAGGCACCAGTCTCAGGCACCCGCTCACCGGTCTTGCTGCCCTGTTCCCTAGTATTGGTGTCCCTGTCCCTTTACGGCTTCCAAAAAGCACTCACAAAAAAAAAAACCGCTCCAATTTCTTTCTTCTCCAGCATCAGCCTCAGGCACCTGCTCACCGGTCCTGCCACCCTGTTTCCCTAGTACCCAGGGCCCCACGCATGCACTGTATCTGTGCTCTGATCTGGAATCCTGGGGCTGGGTGTTCAGCAGTCCTGGGCTCTCTTTCCCTCCCTGTTACCTCCACTCCACCCACCAGGGGCCGGGGGTAGGGGTGGTCGGTTCCCGCCGGGCCGGGGCTTGTTTCTTACCCCCTTTGTGAGGCGCTGGGTTCTCGCAGGTGTGGATGTGGTCTGGATGTTGTCCTGTGTCCTCTGGTCTCTTTTTTAGGAAGAGTTGTCTTTGTTGTATTTTCGTATATTTACATGGTTTTGGGAGGAAATTTCCGCTGCTCTACTCACGCTGCCATCCTGACTCCGCCTCCTCCAATTTTCTTATAAAGCAGCTCCATCCTTCAAACTGCTTAGGGATTCTGTCATTTGGAGATGCCCAGGGCTGCACAGAGCTCCTGAGATTGGCACATAAGTACACAATGGTAAAACTAACTGCTTCAAATTAATTTACATTAACACAATACCTAACTTATTGATTTGTTTACTGGTATACATATATGTGTGTATATATGTTCATATATTTATGTGTGTGTGTACTTGCACATCTATGAATATATATGTGTGTATATATAAAAGCTTTCCAAAGTAAAGATTATACTGTTGGGATAAAATAAAAAGCAGCATGAACATATAATTTGAAAATGACTTGCACCTAATGGATAGCATATAAAAGTATTTGTATGGCTGAGCTATACTCAAACAAGTTTCTCATTTTTGAAATTAAAAAGTTTTAATTAAATGTCACAGCGTGGAGAAATGGAAATTCTGCCAAAAATTCTACCAAACAAGTACATATTTCAAATAGAATCCACAGTGTTAGGAAAATAAAGTTTCCCTGATGTTTTTACACTATTAGGACTTATATGTATAAAATCACACAAATTATGATTTCTAATGAAAGTTAAATGTACAATAAGGGAAAACAAATATTAATGGGCCAATATTAACTGGAAGAACTTGAGAACTTAACAACATTAGTAAATCAACCAATTCTATTGAATGGACTTCTTATGTCCTAGTGAAAACATGTATTTTGGTTAAAAACAATTTTCAGTTCAAACGTCGAACTAACTTAAGATCTTTATCAATTCTATTAGTAGAATTGTAATAAATGAACATGTTTGTATGTGTTAATTCTTTGAAAGTTGCATGGAACAAGGCTACGTTTATTCAGTCAGATGGCAGTGACATGAAATACAGATTTTTGTAGGGAGGCAAGAAAAAGTAGAAAGAAGATATTAAATGACCAGTAATGCTAATTCCCTGATACAAGAAGAAAATGAATGTTTTAACTTCTGAAGGAGGGACCAACACAAGAGATGGATCTTTCTGTGCAAGCCAGTCAAAAGATAAATATTCCAAGCTAAGAAAATTGCTAGTTATTTAAAATTCAAAAATAAAATGCAAGTATATAAAAGAAAACAATAGAAAATTACACATAAACAGAAATAAATAAAATTAACATTACAGGTTTAGGTTTGAGGTACATTTAAATTAAGATTGTTTTCTAGAGTTTTTATGAGACATCAAAATGTTTAAATTTCTAGTACTTGAGGTCTCAAAAAATTTCTTCTAAACTTTCTTCTTTCTTCTTCCCAGCCCTGGTTATTGTTCAGAATTTGAAGTTTCAAACATATTCCTGAAATGTGGAGAGCCATATTATAGTGGATTGGCATTTTTAACATCTTTTAATTATGTTATGTATATTCCTATATCCTAAATACAGATGCCATATAATCTATAGGAACACCAATTATATAATTCAAAGGTTAATCCTACACAAAAACTGAACATGAAAACGTCTCTGTTAAATTACCTAAATTCTTGAACTAAGTATTAACAGTTTCGTGTCTGGTATTTTACTCTTGCAGACAAAATACATTCTGATAAACAGCCTGAATTATTTTCGTTGCTCAAAATGAACTTGTCTTCCTTTTCGTATTATGTGACTGAAACTGAGTGTTAGTGCAGGATGTGCATCAAAACACAATACTGTGGTCTCCTTAAATACTCCTTCTTCAGTTATTTCAGTAAAATAGTTAAAGTTCTTCCTGTAATAATGCCTTTGTAATACGCTATTGACAGGATACTATGCAAATAAGTTTAATGTCTTAGAATAATGTTAAACTCCAAGAATTTATTACAGTCCCTTGATTTTGTAAAGTGAGTAAACAGATTGCCCTCCCTAATGTGAGAGAGTTTCATCCAGAAACACCCTCACAGACACACTTAAAATAATACTTTGACAGGAGTCTGGCCAGTCCACAGCTCAAGGTGAGACATAAAATTAAGCATCATAATCATAAAACCAGTACCCGGCATCAGTGAAACCTTGAGCAAGTGTGCTATATTCATTTAATAAGTTTTACAACAGTGTCTAAGTGTGGACAAAAAAATGAATATGAAACAAAGGAACAAATGAAGACTCTTAGGGAGGTGCACAGAGGAGAGCGTTTCTATCAAAAAATGTAATTTCTGGTTATATCTTAATATGACGCTCATGTAAAGCATTTTAATCATTTGTTAGCTTTCTCTAATGCATGGCAACATCTGACAGACTGTACTACGGTCCATATTGGCCACCTCCCTTCCTTTCTCCTTCTCTCCCTACCTCCTGCCATCGCATGTATTTTCTCTTTTCCTTTTCTTTCATTCGAGAGTGGACAGAAAGTGAAAGGAGGTATGGAGTCTTCTGTAGTATTATTAACACTATACTATTCAGAGTGTACATATAGTACCAGTAATAGACAAGCACAAATTTTGGAGTGCTTTACCTTTTTCTTAACCCTTTTACAAAAATAATGTCACTTATGAAAAGCAGTTTCAGTATCAAACAAAATGAAGTAGACCTGAAGGCTTAGGTCTAAATCCATACTTGCCATTTATTGCACAAAAGATCAAACAGTTCACATAGCCTGTTTTCTCCTCAGAAAAATTCCACCTTCCTCAAGATCCCACTGCTGACGACAATGTTCATGACAGAAACCAGTAAAGTGTGAAATACTCTACACATGTGATGTACTATGAGTTGTAGGAACATTTCTAGTTCTACTCTTTTGCTATAGGTGAGAGGGTTTTCCTCTGGGGACATCTGCTACAGTAAGATCATCAGGTCTTTCTCAGTCATTCGCTTCAGTCACAAAAGGGCTCTTGGTCTAAACAAGCAAGTTAACTCAGGTTTTATGGTATCAGTGCTTACTGACGCGTATATCAAACGATGTATTTTTCTATTTGGTTAACTCAGTTGCACATGACTAAACTCAGAGTGGAGCTGAGGGAGTATTTTGATTTATCCAGCTCCTCCAGATATTCAGAGGCTGTCTTTAGCTTCTTCCAGAATATCTATTTAGTGGGCAACACAAATTGCCAACTAGACATGTTTATCTCTACTTCAGAAGTATAGTTCATTGCATTGAAAAGGAGACCCTTACTGAGGAAAACATTGGAAATGATAATCATGTTGTCACAGAAAATGTATGGCCTTAATCTCAGGAAAAAATAGGGTTGTGTTTTGAGAGGTAAAAAGTGAAACATAGTTGCCTGAAATTTGGACTTTACAAAATGCAAGATAATACCATAACAGAAGGAAGAATAGAGATATAATATATAAAAATGGAGAGGGTCCACTGTCCCCCAAAAATAATTCCACAGGAGTCCCTTTTAGATTATCCTGAATCTGGAGATTGTTGTCCATTATAAAAGAAATCTTTTGTGGTTAGTAGAAGATCGTGTTTTGCCATAAGAGAAAAGAGTTTTTCATCAATTTCTTCCTCTCATCTCAGAGGAATTCAGCATGTTCTCCCCTCAAATGCACAGGCAGAGATACCCCTCCCAGCCCTTCAACATAGTACCCACCTTGAAATTTTTCAGCCTTTCTCTTACAGATTTTGACTACAGAACAACTCAACATCAGTTCTGGAGTCATAAGCTGTTGTCATCCACAACAGCTGGGAAAGAAAATCAACTCATCAACTCGGCTACTCCCTGCGTGGCCTGTGAAACAGTTAAGGTCTTTCCTTGTATAGTGTAAATATCACTAGTGGAAGCATTTGGCTCTTCAGCCTCACAAGCACCCCCCCGCCCATGCATCCTGTCCCAGGCAGTATAAATGCATATGTCTGTTTCTCGAGCTTTTTCTGAAATTTATCAAAGAGAAATGTTTTGATATTTTCATTGTGTTAAGAAGTTTCCAAAGTACGAGGTTTCAGTAGAAGACCTTTCTTTTCTAGGAACACTTCATCGAGGTAATAAAGAATGAAGAATTCCCCTGCTTCCAGCTAATGGGATTTCCAAGCTTCTAGGCAGTGATGACGTTAATGTGCCTGATGAAGAAACCATTTTCAATGCTGTCATGCAGTGGGTGGGTTACGATGTGCAGGCGAGGAAGCAAGACCTGCCAGTGCTGCTCTCTTACATCAGACTGCCCTTACTTCCACCACAGGTAGGGACATCTACCCAGGCAGAGCAAACTCTCCTTCTCAACAACCACTACGCATTAATCCATTCCCTAGCTGCCTAGTTTTATTTTATTCAGAGGATTTCTGATGATTGGAGTGTACAGGATTTTTGAAGGACATATGCAGCCTTCTATTAGTATATTTATGATGAACACAGAGAAAAGCAATTTTTTTGAAACCCTGCCGGTAATCCCTGAACGTCAGCTTACACATTAGTTTCCGTTTCCTCTCTCACCAAAGGGCGCTTGTAACAACCAGGGAAAATGACTACCTTAACTCTGTCTTTTTCTGCCACCTTCTAGGCAAGGCGATGATAATTGGTACAGTAGCATGTCAGAGGAGACTCTAGGAAGGAGTTAGATTCTGGATAATCACTACTGACATGGGTAATTAGCTGCTGTGGTTGAAAGCATACTATAATAGTCAGATGCACTAGGCCATCATTATAATAGCATATTCATCATGCCTGCTGAAGGATTATCCTAAAAATGATTCTAAAAACAAACACCCATCTAATATTGAATTTTAGTATGTGATTTTTAGAGAGGGCAGAATACAGTCCCACTACATAATTCTATCATTAGTGAAAACCACACTTTTTTCTCTGTAGCAAATTGATCAATAGTAAATATCCTTTACGTACCATATATATGACTATATTTCACAGTTCATATAGAGCCTCTAGCTAAAGTCCTGAAACATCATCCACATTGGGAGGAGGGACCTAGTGGATCAGTGGTGTCATAGACACTAAAAAATTCATTGATTTTCAACAAGTTTACTAATTAAATGTTAATATTGAAAAACAGAATGCTAATTTGCTGATGATTTCTCTACATTATTAAAAACATTTTAGCTGTAAGATAAATTCCATGGAACTCTAGTAAGCTTGAGAATCTATTCATATGCAATGAAAAACATTGACTGTTCTCCTTGGTTAGGCAAATTATTCAAAGGGCAAGGCAATAGTCACACCAAAAAAAGAAACATTAAAATATACATGCAATCTTAGACCCAAGGTTCAGCATTTACAGAAATTTTATGTTGATGTTATGTGTGTTACTCTCATGAGAGGGTCTATACAATGTAATAGATTTTCTAAGGCAGTGCTACTCAAAATGTCCCTGGACCAGCTGCATGCCATTTTCTGGAAGCTTCTCAGAAACTCAGTTTCTGATCCCCCCACATGCATAATGAAACAATTTCTGGGGACAGCGAGAAGGAATTTGTGTTTTAACAAGTTCTCCAGATGATTCTTAGGTATGTAAGCACTTGAGATGCACTGGTGTAAAGGATCAGACCCATTGGACTCTATACTGCTCTAAGTCAATATGACATTATTTCAGCAAAGTGCTTAGTTTGGACTTCTCTTATTTTATTAGAAGGTAGGTACATTTCCAGCCCACACAACCAGTGGTACCTTGGCCTCCCACCCCTGAGCCGGCCTTAGAGCCTGCAATGTGGACTCCTGTGGACTTTTGTTGATGATGGCAGTGGTGGGTAATGGCATACAGAATACAGACTTCCCAAAACAATTTTGAAAGTGAGCTTAAGCAAATATTCTAGAAATGAAATATATGAAGAAAATGGTACTAAACCTTTGAAGAATATTTTTGGAGGAAAAGCATTTCACAGCCCAATTTTCAAACCTATTTCAGCAGTGTATGCATTAGGAAATGCCTAGGGTCTCACCAGCCAAGTAAAAATAGTTATTCATCAAAAATTATAGGTAAGGTGAGATCAGAGGTGAGATTAACCAGTGCAGAACAGGAAACTTCAGGGAAGTTTTAGGAAGTGAAATAAGCACCTTCATTACAACAGTCTGATACTCTTCTCAAGGTCCTTGTGATACTGTGGACCCCAAACTCCAAGGACAGTCCAAGAATCTAAATGTTGCTTGATAAATGCTGAAACAAACTTAATTTCTCAGTTCATCTCAGGAAAAATACTATACCTAATGTTTATCCCATTCAGTTAGGGTCTTATTGTCTGTCAGGCAGTAATGGTTTGGCCAGAAAGGACTGGCCATCTACTCTTGCTGAGGTGTTGCCTTCTTGCTAACACATGCACTTCAGTGATGTACACATGAACATGCATACAGATAAAAAGCACCTGCTTTCAGAATACCTTACAGAAGTGATTTGATGATAAAGATGTGACACCCTGCAGGCAATGCTGTTTTATTTTCACTGGGCATGTTTGTATTCCCTCCTCTAAATCCAGCATAAATGTGGCTGCTAGTCCAGCTACATGCAGTAGACTGGGAGGGAGATGCTTGCTTTGTGTACATACACACTGTCCTTTGCTTTGACTGCTTTAAGAAACACATTTCATGAGTGTTTTTCCACCTTCACCCCTTGAGAGTGAATGTGTATGTATTCCAAAGATGAATAATATGTCAAATCTGCAGAGATCTTTAGCTACTACATTGAGGCCTTTAGTCACTTCAAATCATCAGTGAACACAAAGTATGTCAGTAAGCAACTCAAAATATTAAATGACAGCATTCCTACATTTCAATTAGCTCGAGTTTTCTCCACAGTTCTCTAAATGAATCTGTTCTTTCTAATGGTGGGATCCTCATTTCATATACCATGAATTACTACTTTTCAGTTATTGGTGGATCTTGAAGAAAGCCCCGTGTTTAGTGCTGATCTACAGTGCCAGAAACTCCTGATAGAAGCTATGAAGTATCATCTCTTACCTGAGAGAAAACACATGCTGCAAAGCCCTCGGACCAAGCCTAGAAAATCGACTGTGGGGGTGCTTTATGCTTTGGGATGCAAGGACGCTATGAAAGGTAGCAGGAACAAGCTAATTAATTGAAAATATCATTTTAAAGAGAGGATATATTCTCAACACCCTCAGAATTATGAGGGTGGTATTAAAGCCGTATTTAAATAGTGGCATCTAAGGTTAATTTTAGGCTTATTTATATGTAATTTTGCGACTTTTTCCTTATCTTATGGGATAGAACCCTTTTCTTAGTGTTGGCTAAACTCGGAACAGGTACTTTTGTGGCAGCACTTTTTAAATACGAGCATTTTCCCTGCAGTATAATATTTCTTCAAAGAAAACTTATTTAAGGCTTATCATAAATGGAAGGGACAAGGTCCTCCAAATTTGCTTTTTGTCAGAAATAGAAGAGTGGCCTCTAACTCCTTGATGTCAGTTTCCTGTTAGGTACTCAAAGGCCAGGTACAAAGAATCTTGAAGTAAGGATAATAAGATCAACAGTTAAAACCTGGAATAAACTAATGATTTTACATAAGAATTTTATCAAAGAGAATAAGGAAATGTTTCTGAAGCCATCATCTTTACTTTGAACTCTTCTTAGAACCTATTTCTCTGTAGTTCTGCCCTTTTTACACATAAGTCAGTAGACCCATGTTTGCCAAAACAGTGGGATGAGGATTTTGTAATTAAGAGTTGACTGTTTAGGAAATAAAATCAAACTACTTAATACTTGCTAAGTCATATGTAGAAATTTCATTGTACACCTTGTAGAAAATGATACAAACTTCAAAGTTCTTTGCTACTAGAATCTGATCCTTTTTTTTTTGATATGTGTAGTTGCCATTTTAACATGGAAATTGAAAGTGATACAGGAAGTAATGCCGAGTAATCACAAATCTATAAAACAAGAGCTTGCAAATGTAATTATTTCCAAAGTAGTAGAGTAACCTCACAAAACTAGTATTCTTCAGAAAACAACAAATACAACGAAATCTTATAATTTATTTCAGGTCTGACAACTTGTTATTTTATTGCATTTTATTGAATAGAATGAATATTAACAGCATGTTGAAAGGTGTCTTGTTTGATATTTAAATTAAAAGAGGTACTAAATAAAAAATGCAAGTACAGTCATTCTTAGTTTCTTGTTAAAAAAAGGACCTAATTTGCAACGTGAGAAGTGGAAAATGTTGTATTTGTTTGTTTGGTTTTGTGTTTGTTTTCTTTTTTTATTGTTACAGAACATGGTATTAAGTATTTACAACTCATCAGTTTCTGAAAATGAGTCAAATGTGACCCTACAGTCCCTTGACTCTATTACCACAGTTTTATATGGGAGGAAGTAAGGCCATGATTCTGAGACTTTTTGTATACCTACAGCATGGAGACATAAAAGGCCCTGTGGGAAGTTGCAGCCAACTAAAATAGTAGTAAAGCTACTCTTTTTGAGTATCTGATCCTTGATTGGTGTTTTGAAAACATCATTTCTAATCCTTACAATAAGGCTACAAGGTGTTTATTATCTAATTTGCAGATGAAGAAACTATAAGGTTCTGCAGTTTAGATAGCCAACCCAAGGACAAACACCTAGAAAGACTAGAAATGGAATTTTCACTCAAATTCTATGTTCCTTTTTGCTACATTGCCACTATTTAAAAGAGAGAGCAACAACAACAAAACTGATTCCCCTTTTTGAGGGTTTTAGAATCTGCTGAAGAACCAGCTTGAGCACTTAGGAACAAAAAGGAAAAAGGAAAAAGACCTAAGTATAGCAAAAATATTACCGAGGTAACATTTATTTACAGAAATCAGTATTACATTTTAGAATGTACCAATTTTCACTCCTTCATAAAACTTTAAAAAATAATTTCTGCAGATATGCCTGTGCTTAGTGTATTGTTTCAGTCACCTTTCTTTTTAAGATATTTTTTGAACTTACCCCTTTTGATGTTTAGGAAAAAGGCAGTGCCTCTTCAATCTTTAATTTCCTCTCTGACTCATGTAAGTAACTTGGAATTAGTTGCTAAATATAGATATCACATAAGTGGCTGGGGCTAACTATCACTCCTACCATTTAAAATAATCAGAAAACTGTTAGCATAATCACAGAGTAAAAATTTGTAAATGATCAAATGGTAAACTTTGGGCTTTTGTACATACAAAGTAATCAATAGTTTTCATTTATTAAAAACAATTAATCTCAGAGATGGTATGGCAAGGGACAAATTATTCATTTTTAGATCTTTTTAAAAATACAGGCTATCGCTAAGCTGTCTTAGGTAAACTTTATATTTGAATAATAATACTTCCATTTTCCACCTTGGTTATTAGTCAGAAACATCTCTGTTGTACAAAACCAACTTTTAGTAAAATTTAGCAGCCATTGTGAATGAGTGGCAGAAAGTACTGCCTACAGAAGTGACAACTTATTATGAAGTAATGACAATTTTTATGGCAGTGGTCACAATATACTATGGTAGTAAACTTGGAATTTCAGTAATTGAATAGAAAATGAAATATTACCACATAAAGGAGGTAATAACTCAATGTCATATTTTAATACTAATGCTAATAATTAATTTTACTCTTAATTCTGATCCTTTGAGTGGCCATCTATGAATCAACACGAAAGACCCATTTAAAAGAAATTTTCATTCCTGCACCTTAAGTCATATGCATTTTAAATTAGCATACACACACCCCAAGCTGAATTTTAAAAGGGCACATATTAATACATTGAATGGTATAATTATACTATGATATATTGAATGAATAAGTAATTAAAACCATAGTGGATGTGTAAATAAGTCAGTGATAGATTCTAAGATAATTTTTTGTGTTTGCCACCTGTGTTAGTACTACCAGTATCATAGTGTAGCCAAAGAAGCCATTAGGAGTATGTAAGCCATATATGTGGAAATAAACTATTTCATTCTGAATCATATTTGGATCCAGGAGTGCTAAAATATTCTTCTTGTCTTGCCTGCCAGGTTGGAGAATCATCTGGTCTACTTACTTTATTTTGAGTTGCAATTACTGATTCTTTGCTATAAATTATCATACATAAATAAAATGTGAATGCTGCCAATTCAACATTTTTATCCATGTGTTTTTTAACTTTGCCCAATATCCCCTTTAACAGGTACCCATACAATTGAAAAATATGAACTCAGGACCAACAGCTGGCAACATAGTAGCACCATGAGTAGCCTTAGGCTTCAGTTTGGGGTTGCAGTTATTGATAATAAGCTCTATGTTCTCAGAGGAGTAGAGAATTTTAAAACTTTAAATACTGTGGAATGTTTTGGTCCAGCTAGCAAAATCTGGACTGTGATGCCTCCCATGTCAACACCGAGGCATGGCTTAAGTAAGAGCTTCATGTTACATAGTTTCTAAATAATGGGCAGTTGTTAATAGAGCTTTTTAAAAATTAGTTTCTAAAGAATGTATAGTTAGTAGGGATTTTTAAAAATTAAATTCAGCAGCACATAATTGGGATTTAGCCAAACCCTTAGTCAAAATGTCTCCAACGTGCTGAAAAGTAAAGCAAATGGTAAAACCCTGTCAAACTCTTCTCTTGTTTCAGATGTCAGACTTGTCAATTTTATCTCCCTTTTACTGGTATTTTAACAAGGCCTGCTTAAAAAGAGATAACTTTTGGAAGGAATACATTGTTGAGGAATATAAAACTCCACCAGGAATTTTTTTCTAAGCTCAGTTTAGAGGAAAGTGCACATGATGATGGAGAGACATTGCATTTCTAGATGGATGAATCATGACCCTTCCCAGAACATCAAATTGGTATTTCAGCAAAAGCCTTAGGATGCAGATCCAAGCAGGGATATTTAGGAAATTGCAGAGCAGCTCTAGGTTATACTTAAGCCAGAAGTTGCCAATAAATTGAAGAAAGATGTAGTAATAACCTCTGGAATAGTGAGGAACTTTGATTCTCCTGGATATTTGACAAAGTACATCTTTCTGCATTCTAGACTACTTTGTTTAAAAAGAAGAATACTTACCTTAGTTAGGCAATTAAGAACTGACTTATACACAGCTAAAAAGTGGAGACAAGGTCTGGTATTGTTTGCCCCAAATTACCTAATACATAGTCTATGCCAAATTATAGACTATATAATTATGCAGCTCAGTTGTGTCACTGTGATTCCTGGACATGCTTAGAAAACATACCTCGTGGAGAAATCAGAGCAAGTTTAAAAAATCTCATTGATATCACTTGAGAGGTAAGAGAGGTGATGAGGGTATACCACTGAGAGACTGACTGAGATGGTGAAGAAGGTGGGGGAGAAAACCAATTATGTGAATTCCCAGAGCAGACAAGCAGCAGTTAGAAAGGGGTTATTCATAGTATCTAAAGGAACACACTTCTGACTAAACCTCAAAAAGCCTTGTTTATTTAGTTATCCCATTGGAATCTCTTTTTTTAAATCCTTGTAATATAATAGAGCAGGGTTTAAAAAGACCTACCACAGATAGCCTAAAATTCTAAAACTTAGATCGAAGATTTAGTATCATTTTTCATCTACCCTATACATTCAAAACCTAACCTTGAAATTATGCCAGAAAAAATCAGCTTGCCTTTTCTATGATATCCCTACTAGAGTGGGTCTCACTACCTCCTTTGATTTTAGTGTTACAATAGTGATACCCTTTCATGATACAGTAACGACAGCCTGAAAGTTTCCTAGGATTAAAAAACCATATTTAGTTTCATATTAAGATAAGTAAATTATTCGTGTGTACACAAAACCATTTAAGAAACAAAAACTAATTTTTAGCCCATCAGTTGTTTGCAGAATGAAACAGTATCCCTTATCTGTGGTGTACCATGGTGAGCCCTCATGCTATTTTTATCCTTTGAGGTGTAGCAACACTTGAAGGACCAATGTATGCTGTTGGTGGTCATGATGGGTCGAATTATCTATATACTGTTGAAAGATGGGATCCTGAGGGATGTCAGTGGACTTATGTGGCCAGTATGTCAATTCCTAGAAGCTCAGCTGGCATTTCATTAAATGGCAAGTGAGTAAAACCAAACCTGTATGCGCTTTGCTCCCAGGTCATGTGATACAGCACTTCCTTGATGTGCTCCATCAGTGAGTAAGCATTCCCAGTGACCAGGACATCCTAGTTATCAGTCATAAAAGACCTGTGTTGGAACCCTCCCTTCACTATGACAGAAAACACTTCTCCAAATGAGCATTTAAATTAAATATTCTGTAGTCCCTTGCCACTCAAGTGTTGTTCTGGGACCAGCAGCATTACCATTACCTGAGATCTACTTAGATATGCTGGTTTAATATCTTGCTCTGGGTGATGGTTATGTGAGCGTATACACGTGTCAAAGTTCATCAAGCTATACACGAAGATTTGCGCATTTCATTGTATGTCCCTCTATAAAAATTCATGAAAAAAAAGAAATACTGAATCCTAGTCCCACCCTAAATACAACTCCTGAAACAGAATCAGTATTTTACCAATATCCTCAAGTGACTTGTGTGCGCAGTAAACTTGAAAAGCACTTTTGTAGGCAAAACAGTTTCAATTTTGCCCTCAAGAGCCTACCACTTTTTACATTATGACTTACTTTTTTAGAATCAAAACTTTGGTCTCTCTAATACAGAAGTCTTTTTGTTCTTTACTACTCACTCTCTCCTGAGAGTACAGGATTTCCAACTCTAGAATTCCATCTAGTACCGTCTTTCTGAATCTTTCCCTCTTGTGATCATTTGCCTATAAGAGAAAGCTAATATATTAAAGTCCTATGGTATTAGAGGTTACAAAGAACCTGAATGGTTACTTCTTACAAGTAATTATGTGCTTTCTGACAAGGGACCTTTGGAAACAATGACTAGTTTATGGGAAGCACTTGAATGATAAGAATTTCAGACACCACGATATATCAGTGGCATTAGATAGTCTTCTGTGTCCATATTTACTATGTATAAAGCCAATACTTTGTCATATAACTGATCTCAGTAGAAATTTCAACACAGATGTTTTTTAGCACATGTGTATGAAGTAAGAAATGTCTATAGTTAAGAGAAAACCCAGGCTTACCATGTCTTCGAGGTTAATAGACTCCTAACTGTCATTATCTCTGGCCTGACCTGAGTGATATCAGGGGACTCAGTGGCCATCTCCTAACTCTTGCAGAATATGCTGAAAGCATTAAATTTCACTAATTTAAGTTTGTTTTGCTGTCTCACAAAACAAATGGGCTCATAACTAAGCATGAAGTGTAGTTACGGATGTATGGCTTAGTAAATGTTTATCTTCTTTGTTGATGCAGGATTCAATTTAAGTTATATTTAAAATGCTGGTCATCAAAATCATTGGCACTGTAAAGTTTATTAGCGAACTGTCATTGACAATGTATCTCCCTAGGATTAATTCCAGTTTCTTGGTTCTATTCTATTTCCTTAGTTGTTTGTTACTCTTTTGTTAGTGACAATTTTTTTATATTAAATAAAGCAGTTCATAAAGACAATAGGGGCATTAAATATTGCGCTGTGAGAGGTGGGACAGAGGCTTCCTCCTAAAACTGCATATAATAGGAAAGTATAATTAAGACAACTAATCCTGAAAGTGCAACAGGAAAGAAGTCTGAGCTAGACTGCATACACCTGGAGAAAGAACAGATATCACAGAACAGGGTAAAGATCCAAATCCATTACCTGGCAGGACCCAAGCCCTTCCCCAACTCCAGCTCACTGGCACATGGAAGAGAAATGAGATGGGGAGGAAGTGGAGGCATGGGACTGCTGAACACCTAGTTCTGAGATCTGTTCTGGAAGCACAAACCTACACTGCATGGTGCACTGGTGATTAGGGGGATTGGAAAGCTAAGACAGGCAGAATACCCGGAGAGATGGAGATTTCAGCTGCTTGTGAAAAATGGATATATATCCAGCTGCTCAGGGACAAAAACAAGGAGTGACAGCCTAATGGTGAGAAGGCTGCTAAAGGGGCAATGATTGCACAGAGATTACTCCTCAGGAGAAAGGATAGGTAGACAGAATTGTCCAGGCGCAGTCTGCCTAGCACAGAGGGAACTTCCACGATCTTCAGGTGCTCCAGCCCCCTGTCTGGATATGCAGCTCCAAGGCCCCCTCCATGACACAAAGCCTCCTGCACCTTCCTCTGGCCAGCCCTCACCTGGCTCACAAACCAACAAACCCTGCCCTAGCATCAGGTGAGCCAGAGGGAAGCCTTGCCTACAACAGGTACAAACGCAAAGCACAGAGGCTTATACCTGTGTGCTCAGCCCACTGGTTCTGGCAGTGGAGACAGTAATAGTAGCTCGGAAGCAAGAAGCCACTCTTTCCACCCACCAGGCACTAACACTGCTCCCCTGTGACTCCTGATGTTATTTCAGGGACTGAGCAGCTCCACAGAAAAGAGCACTAGAGAGAGCAACATACAAATATGAAATGCCAAAGGAACCTGGTTCACAGCAAAATCCTACATACACCAGAGAAACAGTCAAATGAAACTGATCTCATCAATATTCCTGAAAGAGATTTCAAAATAAAAATCAGAAACATGCTGATGGAGATACAGAAAAGTATTCACGAACTCAGGAATGAATTCTGGTCAGAGATCCAATCATTACCAAACACAGTATCATAAATGAAACATACAGTGGAAGGTTTTAAAAGCAGATTAGATATGGTGAGGAGACAATAAATGAAATTGAAATTAGAGAAGATGAATACAGAGAAGCTGAGGCACAGGAAGGAAAAAGGATCTCTAAGAATGAAAGAATATTGAGACAACTGTGTGACCAATCCAAGTGGAACAGTATTCGTATTATAGTGGTACTAGAAGAAGAAGAAGAGAGAGAAAGTGATAGAAAGTGTCTTTGAGGAGGTAATTGCTGAAAACTTGCACCATCTGGGGAAGGAGATACTCTCAAGTCATGGAGGTGCACAGATCTCCAAACACAAGGGACCCAAGAAAGACAACAACAAGAAATATAATTTAAAAAATTACAAAGATCAAGGATAAGGACAGACTATTAAAAGCAGCCAGAGAGAGAAATAATATAAGATCCCATATAAGGGAAAGCCCATCAAGATATCATCAGACTTCTCAGCAGAAAATATACAGTCCAGAAGGGAGTGGCATGATATATTTAATGCAATGAAGGAGAAGGACCTCATGCCAAGAATACATTATCTGGCAAGATTATCATTTAAATTTTTTTTGTAGATAATTATTTTTTATTGAGGGGTGTTGACACACAGTATTACATTAGTTTCAGGTGTACAACACAGTGATTCAACATTTATATACATGATAATTCTAGCTACCAGCTATCACCATACAAAGTTGTTACAATATTTTGACTGTATTCCTTATGCTATACATTACATCCCAGTTACTTATTTATTTTACAATTGGAAGTCTATACTTTTTTTTTTGAGAGGGCATCTCTCATATTTATTGATGAAATGGTTGTTAACAACAATAAAATTCTGTATAGGGGAGTCAATGGTCAATGAACAATCATTAATCCACCCCAAGCCTAATTTCCATCAGTCTCCAATCTTCTAAAGCATAACGAACAAGTTCTTACATGGAGAACAAATTCTTACATAGTGAATAAGTTACATGGTGAACAGTACAAGGGCAGTCATCACAGAAACTTTCAGTTTTGATCACACATTATGAACTATAAATGATCAGTTCAAATATGAATATTTGTTTGATTTTATACTTGATTTACATGTGGATACCACATTTCTCTCTTTATTATTATTATTTTTAATAAAATGCTGCAGTGGTAGGTAGATGCAAGATAAAGGTAGAAAACATAGTTTAGTGTTGAAAGAGAGCAAATGTAGATGATCAGGTGTGTGCCTGTAGACTATGTGTTAATCCAAGCTAGACAAGGGCA